AGGAATAGAGTATGGTTGAGTTCTCAGTTCAGTAAACTTACCAGCACTGGGTTCCTCTGCCTTACGAAGCAGTCTATTGAAATGTGAGATTGTTCGGTGCTGGAATGCTCCTATCGTGAGCCGTATTGGCCTCCCTGTAACTGCACCACTCAGAAGGATGTCTCTTCCTCCAAATGAGTCCACCCCCACTCCCAGGTGCTTCCCTAGTTGATTGAAATATTTCCAGGTTCCCTTTTTACCTGCTCTTGCCTCAGTTTGTCAGGTTCTGAGAATACTTAGCCCTCTCACCATCCTGGATAGTATAGTATATACAGGGTAATTCCCGGCTCATGCATCATCTTAGGGATTTAGTTGTGGGAAGAAGGGCAGTACTACAGAGGATTTGTGCAGCTAAGCTGGGCTTTAGAAGGGAGTTTAAAATGACTACCTCCACAGCACACTTGAACATGACCTATACCCCTACACTTGTTAGCCAGTTCGGAACAGAGTAGTGCTTGTGTGTATTGAATTTGAGCCTTCTCTTGGTTTAGCCTGTAATTTCACCAATGTTTATGCCATATTTAGGGTTGACTGACAAACTCAAACTCATAGGTCTTCTTCAGACTAATTAATTAGTTTATACCTTCTACCATGGGAGTGCATTCCTTACATTTTTTTGGATGATGAACTTTGTAAGGGCAAGAGCTCTTTCTTATTTAATCTCGGTGACTTTTTCCATCTAGTGTAGGGACCAAAACATGGTAGTCCCTCAGGAAATATTTGCTGAATGAATGAATTTGGGTTTTTTTTCACTTATATTTTACAGTAATGCTATAAAATTGTTTGGTTTCCTCACATTTAGGACTACGATTCTATTATATAACATTCTAGCCATTTTAAAACTTGAATGAGCTATGACTTTGATAAGCCTGCCTTATATCTTTATTTATATGATAAGTATATTCATTAGACTAGGACAAGGCCTACTGATGCTTAAGAGGTGCTTCCCAATTAATACATCAAATGTTTTTGCAAGTAGGTTTAGATTTGATTTTAAATTCACTGATTGTAAGTGTATTACCCATTGAAGTTCATAAGTATACACAGTAATGTGCCCGCTACTACCATTATGATACGGATCATTTCCACCCTCCAATATGCCTCTTTATAGTGAATCTCTTCCCTCACATCCTCCCCCTTGGCAACAGTTGATCTGCTTTCTGTTGGTATAGTTGTGCCTTCTCAAAAATTTCTCATAAATGGAATTACACATACAGTCTTTTGTGTTCCCTTCTTTCCCATAGTATGTCTTTGAGATTTACTTATGTTGTGTGCATCGGTAATTCTTTTCTTTTCACTACAAAGTAGTATTCCCTTGTGTGATATAGTGTGATGTGTTTATCCATTCATCAGTTGGTGGGCATTTGAGTTCTTTTGAGTTATGGGCTCTTATGAATAAGGCTGCTGTGAACATTCCTATACAAGTCTTCGTGTGGAATGTATCTTTCACTTTCTCTTTGGTAAATACATAGGAGCAGAATCGCTGGGCAATACGGTAAGTGTGTGTATGGAAACTGCCAAATTATTTGTCAGAGTGCCTATAACATTTTTAATTTTCCACCAGCATTCTATAAGAATCCCAGTTGCTCCATTATCTTGTAAACACTTGACATTTTTGTCCTTTTTAAAAAAACATAATCTTAATTATATTTTTCCATTACCATTTAGTCCCCTTATACCCCCGCCCCCAGCAATCACCACACCGTTGTCCATGTCCATGAGTCCTTTCTCCTTTTTGCTCAATCCCTCCACCTCCTAACCCCTGCTTAACTAGATATTTTTGTCGTTTTAAATGTAGTCATTCTAGTGAGTATATAGTGGCGTCATATCAAGGTATAGTTTTGCATTTCCCTACTGATTAAATTATGTTGAGGCTCTCGTCTTGTGCTTACTTGGCATTTGTTCATGTTCTTTGTTGAAAGTATGTTGAAAGCTTGTCGTTTTTATTTTAATAGGGTTGTTTGGCACTGAATTTTAATACCATTAATCAGTTTCTGTAAGGAAATACTACGAAGCAGGTATTTTTGTTGCTCACACACTCTCAAGAATGGAATTTCTTTCAAAGGTATTTTTGTTTCCCATGCCACATTCTTTTGCTCCTTTGGGTATGTGTAGAGTGGTTCTTCTGTCATCTGTTCCTCTATTTTAATTTATCTTACCTTGTTCCCCAAACATATACTCTTTACTAAATCTGTCAGCCTATTCTCTGGGAAAACCCCATGTGAATTTACTTCCTACCTGCCTAAACACACATTGGCACACACACATTGGTCACTTGCAAACTTCGATTTAGTTCAGTGAAAGCCTCCTTGATTATCTCAGTCATCACAGTACAGTAGGCAAGGACATCACTGCACATTTGTTGGCTCCCTTGCACCTAGTACGGTACAGTGTAAGTGACCGGGAATCAGCAGATGCCTGTCCATGGTAGTAAGCTGCTGACGTAGGTGACTTAACCACTAAGTGCTCTGGGGTGACTCCAGAGCTTTAGACAGTAAGAGTTCTGTCCAAATTGGTGGGTCTAATGGAATATTATCTTGAAATTCTTACTTTAAAAACTTTATCTAAGCTTTGACCATAGAATATCTACATTTTGCTTGATAGCTATCTATGAAATCTACTTGAAACTGCATTGTAGCAAAGCTATGATTACGATTTGACTGTGAATAAGAAAGGGAAATTCTATTTTGAGGATAGATGTCAGGCTTTAGAGAGCCTGAAAATATTTCAAATTTCATTTCAGATTTTTATGGACGTTCATGGTTTAATCTGGCTTTGTAAAGGGAGCAAAAGGCAGAGTGTGTTCTTGGATATTAGTAGTGTTTTGTGGTAACATAAAATTGAGTTAACTCATTGAGTGATGTTTATGCTATGCAGAATAATAGATGTGTAGCAAAATAGATGAAATTATAGCTCTTAGTGGGTAATTTATGGAAATTATAATTTAATGGAGCACTCACTGGATTGGCACCTAGGAAATCAGAGATTTAACAACAGTTTTGCTGTGTGACTTTGGAGAAGTCACTTGGCTACTCTGAGCTTTTGTTTTCTGTGCTATGAAATGAGTCGATTAGAGCAGGTGACCATTCAATCCCTTATCTTCAAGAATAGGTGCTATGAAAAGAAAGAATAGGTGCTATGAGTTATTAGGATGATTTTGATGTCATATGGCAACTTGGAGACAAGTCTAGTCCTGAAGTCCTTCCCCATCTTTGAATTATGTGACCCTGCCATCTCTACAGCATCAGAGTAAGAGTTCAAGTCCATTATTCTCTCCCTTCAAACTGTGAGTAGGAAAAGGCGAAATAATGATAAATATGAAGAGGGATTTTTGATACAATTTTAGGACAAAACAAAAAATATTGGTTGCAAAGAAGTAAAGTATAAAACATTTTAAATTTTTATTATGGGTCATGATCAATTTAAATTAGGCCTAAAGATTTTTTTATTAAAATTTCTCTAACATCCTATTATATATATATATATATATATATATATATATATATATATATGACTTTACTCATTCGAAGTCCTAGATCCCATACATTTCAACAAATAAAATAAAATCTTAAATTGCCACAAACTTGCCAAAAGGGGCCATAAACTTGGAGTTTATATTTTGCTGTATTCCAGTATTAATTTTACTTTTGCTCTTGTTGAACATTGCTGGGTAATGGGACAGGGGAAGTAGGTAGATTGTTTTGAACATTTTAAATATGAAAGTGGGAAGTGTCAGTCTACTTGTTATTTAACTTGACATTTTCAGGCTTTCTTTTATTCTTTTAAGCTAAACAAAATCTAAGCCAAGCTTTGCAGGCTTATTAATAAACTTCTGCCAAATCATTCATTACACATCACTCCAGAAAGAAGACCGAGGTTGGGAAGCTGGCATCGACCTTAATGAAGTGCTCTTCACGGGCATCTGTTCAAGTCCCGAGTGCCTCCTTACAATATTCTGTTGGTTGCTTGTATATCCATGCAAAATAGAGAGTAAATCTCAGTAAAAAAGATATCTACTATAGTCAGAGCATTTTCATTCCCCATCTGTGAGCCCCCACTTTTATATAAATGAAGGTGGACTCCAAAAGCAGACGCTAGTGGAGAAGATGGTCAAGTTTTCCACTATTATTTTGTTTGAGTTGCCAGATATATGGATAACAATCATTTCATGATTCATTCACATATCTCCCAATACATAAGTACTGGAAGATACTCGGGTAAAAAAAATGTTTGGGTGTCAGACAGCCCCTAGGGACATGACTTTCTTCAAAAAACCTCAGTTTCTTTCCACCTTTGGAAAACACAGTCCTGTAATGTCTGCGTCTGAGTATGTGCCCAGTTCACGCTGATTGTTTGAAGTGAAATACTGTGTAGCCAAACTTTGGGGCTGCTCTCCCTTCCAAGGTCTGTCCTTCCTCCAGGAGAAAGAAGCCCCCACGCAAATGAACACGTGTTTGTGAGCTCACGTCGGAACTGGAACTGCGTTTGGGGGACGAGATAAAATGCTGCTTTGTAATGTTGGACTCCCTTGCAAACATGAACAAAGTTTCTGAAATATAAGATATGTGTTCCTCCCCAGTTTGCAGGAGCTTGTGAGAAGCCTACATCATTTCCTGCAGGATTTTGTGAGCAGGTGGTGTTGAGGTTCTTGCGTTGGGCGTGCTGCAAAGCCACACGGGGGCCTCCAGGCTAATGGCACTGCACAGGCTCCTTTGGTTTGTTTCCCACTGGAGGCACAAACACCACCTACCCTACAGTTCCCTTTTTTTCTAGAATCAATTTAGACTTTGCTAGAGCAGCTATGTTAGAAAGAGGATTTGGACCCAATCTTTTTCCAGGTATATGAGGAAATGTACTGCGTTTGCTCTTTTGGTAAAAATCAGTTTCTGTTTAATGATACTTTAAACATTCATTGCTTTTATTCTCCAGAGTAATTTGTATTCTGTCTCCTTTACTTTTAGAAGTTCCCAGTTGGATTCTAGAGGACCTGCCCTCGTCGTTCTGAGCCTTGGATTGGAAGTTAGCAAGACTTTCTAAGGCCTGAAAAGGAAATAAAAGGTAATTACGTGTGAAAAATATACTATTAAATTCACGTATAACTCTGATGATCATAAATACAACCTTTTATTTGCTGAGCAGAATCTAGGCGTCCCCTTCCGGCCCTTCTTCTCCTGTCTTCACTCTGCCCACTTTCCTCTGTCAGCTTTTCTTCTCTCCTCTTCCCCTCTTTTCTCTGTCCCCTCCCCTCCTTCCTTCCATGTATCAAAGAGCGGCTGCGCACCTGCTACTGCATTAAGCATGCATCCGTCATCCAGTATTCTGTAGGGCACCTGGACTCCGGTGTTGCCAGGTCAAGGCGAGCACCTTTGCCCCGGGTGTTGTGTGGGAGTGCAGACCCTCTCCTTCATCTGCTGCTTCTACAGTACACACTGCAGCATGGCTCTCCAGACATTAGTTTCATTTCTTCACAGTGTTTCTATCTGTCCTTCCAATTTTTAGTCGGTCGACAGCACAGCTGTCTTCCTCCTAATGGGACAAGCACCTTACCATGGTTCCTGACTCGGCTCCCTGCTGCCTTTTTCTTTAGCCTCAGAGTTGACTCCCTGCCCCACTTGGTGCTCCCCATTGTATCCAAAAACAATTTGCCATGATTCCTACAGCCCTATGCCAACCTCTTCCCCGGTTGTTTGCCTGTTCCCTCACATTGTCTGCTGCTGAGGTGGGTGCTTGGCTTGTTTGGCTTAGGAACAGAGAGCTTCGTGTGGCCAGGCACATAGTGGGCCATGCATAGGACCTAAGCAGCTGATGACCATTGAAGGGACATGGGGCATCTGTCCAGACCAAGACTCTTTATCCTGGGATGCCTTGTGCTCTGGTCAGCTAGAAACCTTGGCCTTTGGATCACATGCTCCTGGGCCCATTGAGCTGTGCCAGCTCTGAGGCAGGACTTTAGTTCCCTTATTGTGACTTTCTTCAGAGACACTAGGGTCCAGATTTATGAGTTATCTCATGAGCCAAGGGGTGTAGTTCTGGCCATGTCCTGTATGCTGCTGTAGCTGTTCTCATAGGTGGGGCAGAGGTCAGGCCTGGAGAGCCAGACTCCTTGGGGTCGGTGGGAAAGAATGTGGCTTTGATATTAGGGGGACTTGGGTCCGCATCAGGACTCTGCCACATATAACACATGTGACCTTGGAATAGCTGCTTACACTGTATTTCCCAATTTCCTCATCTGTCAAAGCAGGGTAATAGTAGCACCCACATCATAGGACTACTGTGCGCATTAAATGGGTGCGTCACTGCGTGCACTGGCACTGGAAATGCTTGATACATGTGAGTAGCTGTCATCTACAGAACAGAGATAACAACATTTACTTCTCATGGTTATGTAAACATTAAATGAGGTGGTGTATATAAAATACCTCGTGCCCGGCACACAGTGTCTGCCACACACGGCGGGCAGCCCTCCACGATAATGGTGAAATAACCACAGCATTATCAGCAAGGGTACTCCTACCGTGACCCTGAATACAGGCTAATGTCAAACAGGAGTGACTTGCAGCCAAGAGTGGCGGCAAATTCGGTTTGTCAACCAAACAGTACTATTTATGGACAACTTATGTTATTTGAAATCTCATCATTAGTTTACTAAATCATTTATTTCTACACTCTGGCCACAAAAATGAATTCCTAAAAGCATTGGTTATGATTGACTGTTAAGAGTGCGTAGAAAGTTATATAGTCCTATAGTTCTTTCATTCTTATTAGTGCCCACTTCTTAAATATAAAGCACAGTGTTTTCTTGGCTTGTTATGAAATTTTTAAGCTAACTGAAGAATAAGGATAATTAGATCTTGAATAACACTAGAACCCATCCACCTACATGAACCATTAGCCTGTATAATTATAACATGTACACAGATACATGTGATTATTTTGGTCTCAGCCTTTCTGTCATCGTTCTGAACTGTGAAGTGTACTGAAGTATTATCACCCATGCTATTTGGCTGTTCTAAAACTATAAAAAGGCATGTAAACTGAAGTTTATTAACATTAGGTTCTACTGTATCTAAATTCAGTGAGGCTTATACAGAAACTTTGATGTTCTTTTTTCTATACTCTGGACCAAAAGCACATCTGAATCGTTGTTGCTTTAGAGAGTTTCTTATCATTTGCTTTACACGTTTGTTTTTTGTACACTTGAGACAAATGACATTACTTGGCTTAAGAATGCCTTTTAAAGAAAAGAGCGTATAATTGAAGGGACTGTGAGTCACCTTAGAAAGTGAATGTTTTTGAGCCCTTCTAGCAAGAGAGCCCTGTCTTCTTATCTTTGCACCCATGCCTGGCCTTGGGAACGCTCCGTGAAGATGGAAACTAAATTGAAAACGCAGCAAGGGAATTGGAGAACTGAACATGCCTTTGTTCGAATGCTGAGAATATGATGACGTTTCAAATGTGCCTTTAGGAGTACTGCAACACAGTTTAAACTGTAAATAAAGACATTTCAGTGGGAGTAATATTTTGTGTGTATTTGAATGCAGTTCTTGTTCTTTCCTCATCTTAGGATGCTGACGGAATGGAGTCCGTCTCTTCCTGCCTCCGCCCTGCCTCCTCACTCCTTCTTTCCTGTGTACCTTGCCTCCTCTCTGCTGCATCCTGCCTCCTTTTCAGATGGATTTTGAGCAACGTGCTGTCTGTCCCTGCTCTCACAGCATCCCTGTGCAGTGGCCTGAACTACTTTGGAGGTCCTTATGTGAATCCGAATAATAGCAGTAACTAGCGTTGAGCACTACTGCCACTTCCCCCGCCCTTTCTGCTGTTGTGACTTGCACTGTGGTGGACTCCTCTCCATATATTCCATACCCAAAAGGGGGAGTGGCCAGCCCCTCTGTTGGAATTTGCAGTGGTGCATCTCTGCTATTGACTTATATCTACTGCTTAAATGGTTTGGTCAGTATCCCTTGCTACATCTTTTCTCAGCTCATTTGAGGTAAAAGCATTCTGCCTCTATTACCATCACCATATTTTGGCAGAGAACTGCGTTCTGGTTGCATCTCACAGGAAGACCCAAGCTCTGGCAGCTTTGATGTCCTCTTCTCTACCAGTGCTCATTTGCTGTGGTCGAAATCTAGCACTGTGACGCCTCACCCACGTAGTGTTCTCCTCGAAGGTAGACATTTCCCCCTTCATTGATCGATTTTGTGAAATTCGCATAACTTAAAAAAATTGGACTTTGTCATGTGATTGTAACAGGTTTTACTAGTTTGTCTTGAGATTAGACAAGTGAAAAAAGAATCAGAGCAGCTACTTCTCAAAATTGGTAGAAGTGCCAAGTGAAAGCTCCTGAAAACCATGTAGTTCAGTTGCTGCTCTGAACGGGATAAATCAGTGCTCCCTTCTCCTCCCACTCCCACCCAGAAGTGACCTGTGATTTAGACTCTCGTTGAGTTTGCCTCCTCGCTTGATTTTGGTATTGATCTGACCTAAGTACCATGCAAGAGCAAACCACTGAAGCAGGTACATATTTTAATATGTAGTTGTATATAATCCTTCAAATCCTAAGAGTTTGAATTTATCTCTTCCAACTCATGAATGTCTGTTTTTTTAAATTTATGTAATATAAACTTAGATTTTTCTAAAGTGAGTTTCCTAATTGATGTCCAGTCAGTTATTTATTTATTCTGTGCTTTATTGTTGAAGGAGAAAAGCAGCTGATGGTGCATTTTGGTTTTTCAGGTGTTTTTGAGACCATTATGTTATCAATAGACCTTTCATGTATTAATGACATTTAGGTACAAGTAAATATTAGAAGCTTTTTCCAACTTAGTCTAATAATCCCAGGCTCTGCTTAACCTTCTACAAGCCTGTACTACAGTAAATTAATTCCAATTATTACATCTGATTTAAAACAAATTCACCCTATTTCAGGTTTGTGTACACAAATGTGTCATTTAGCTGGTCTTCTCTAAAAGGAAATTTGTTCATTATTTTATTGACTTAAAATGTTAGTAATTTATCACATACTTCAGTTATGAAGATGAATTTGTGTTTTATAGGAAATATGATTTATAATCTTTAAAAATCTTTTAGTAGCATCTCTTTTCAGTGAGTATGTTCTTGACTGTATGTTCTGACTTCTAAGTTAATTAGAATTGGAAAATGGTCGTTTCTTTCCTCTCTCTCGTTGCTGTTTCAGGGCACCCAGGCCTCCTCCTCTTGTTTTCCTTTTCTCTCTCCACCCACTGCGGTTCGCGTTTCATCTCAGAGGCTGTTCTGTCTTTGCTCTCTGCCACCTGCACAGATAGGCATCGTCCACTGTGACACAGGCAGGGGCTGTCTGGCTTTGAAATGCAGGAGGAATGGGACTAAATGAATTCTAAATCGTTCTGACCTAGTAACTCTCCCAATTTCTGTTTCTTAATCTTCAAAAGGAGGATAACTGTACCTATTGAAAAGTGTGTCATCTTTGTCTGCCCAAATGATTGCTAATGACATATAAATGTACTGGAGCCTCTTTTCACTTATATTTTGAATCTCAGGTGTTAGTCACTCTGGATCAGGTGGCAGAGTACCCGTGACTCCTCATCAACCCTGGGAACGTTGTCAATTACTGTTCTCTGCTCAGAACGGTGGCGTCTTTTGTGTATGAAATCGTGGAGTGTCTAAGATAGAGATATAGCAGATTTAACTTGGACTCCTTGATTTTATGGAGGAGAAAACTGAGACCATCTTACAGTTGCCTTCATTTAATATATTTATGAGAATGTAGCAAAGATATCTTTTTCTATTACTATTCTTAATATAGGCTTTCTTCATGTAATCAGAATGTTTGTGGAAAGTAACTAGTGCATTAAATCACATTAAAAGTGATCAGCCTTTAATACCCACTAGAGTAAGGCACAGATTTGCTTCATCTGAGACCTGTAGGAGCACAGCTGGCATTCAGGAGTTTCCTAAGTGTCCACATGATTGCATTTGCTCATTCAGTAGCTCACTTGACAGACATGCCCTGGACATCCTCAGTATCTTCTGAGAAGATGAGGCTCCTGCCTTGGAGA